GAAAATGTTTGAAATAATATTGACAAACGTGCACATCTCATCTCATCTTAATCACACCCGCAAATGACAAGGTGAAACTATCACCAAAAAAACAAAACAAACTCAACTAAAATAAAAATGATGCAGAGAAATGTCATAAATAATGATCGTGTTACACACAACAAACCATGACATGACAATGACACACGCGCTACACACTACACAGCATGACGGAGCACACACACACCAAAAGATGGACAAGAAAGAATACATGATGTAGTGCATGTGAGCACGTATGAATGACACAACGATCGACATATCGCGAGGGAGACACACACCAGAGACGTACAAAATCCCTGTCGCACACCAAGGGAAGAAGAGAGGGAATGAATCATTTATCTTCTTCGCTCTGGCATGATAAATACGTCCTGATGCAAAACAGAAGGAAGAAACAGCTTTTGACTCAATGGGCGCGTGTCCGGAAAGGACGTGGAAAAAGACTGAATACTGAAGAAATGGTGGAAAAGTGAGTGAGTAAATGAATGAGTGAGTGATTTGTGTGAGTGTGTGTGTGCTGAACCACACATGAAGAGTAATATGGGGTGTGTATGGGGGGGAGGGTGTTGTTGCAGGAATGAGTGAGTGAGAGATAGATGGATGGATGCAGACGACTATGATATTAAAGTGGGTGTGAGATGTTGATGTGAGTGAGGTGTAGTCGGCAGGATTTGAACCTCCTACCCCACACAGAAAAACCAACCTAGTTGTTAATGGCGTAGCACCTGGCAAGAAATCACTAACACACGACCCCAGACAAATAGGGATAGATATCACTTGACTGACGTACACATGCACGCACACACCCACCAACACGACTACAGCAATGTCCCAGAGCAATAAGGATTTATAAGTTAAGTTCACAGTCAATCAGTCAAACAGTCAAACAGTCAAACAGTCAAACAGAAACAGCATGTAGTAAATATCTGATCACACACCACACACGAAACAAAAAGTCAGACTAGTCACAATTGGTAGTAGCAGCATCTTTATCGTCCCAAAACAACAACTATTTATAGCAACACACACTTAAATACAGAGTCATGAATCACCACAGCTACGCTATAAATAGAACCAGATTTCCCCCGTCTTTCTCTCTCTATCTTCTGTCGCTCACTGCCGCAAAGTTCAGAATCAAAACTGAGAATCTGATACTTCGACAGCAAACAGATGCACCAATAAATACTAATACACACTAATAGGCACTTACACACACACAAATTTGCAAGTAAAATCCATTAAGCACAGCTTAATGGACCAGCACACAAAACAAAGATATTAAAATTTTTTACTTTTCTACATCAGCCGGAAAAGAAAAAGAGAAAGCAAGCCTTTAGCTAACCCAACAAAAGTGAGGCATTTTTTATGTAGCGCTTTAAAAAAAAAAAGGCGACCAATTGTTTCATTAGAACACAGCTGAAACTTCTAAAGAACAACAAAATGGCACCAAAACAATAGTATATATAACATATTTATATTTCTATACAGAAAAAGACTGTCATGACCTACAAAGAACATCCGACCCAAAAGATTCCATAACCCAAAAACTGACGTAGCCTTTAAATAGAAAGCGCAAACAGTGAACAAAAAAACCCAAACAAAAATAGAAGGAAAGATTACAGAACTAAACATAACACCCCGAGAATTCAGCAAAATCCCTAGTCAAGCAAAGCCTATTATAAATATATCTACATACAATACAAATGTACAATCCATACAGCCATAGACTTGTGCAACAACCCAGACAACCACTGACCTAGAACACTGAGACATAACTGCAGCCTGGTAGGCAAACACACCATACCCTCTACACATCATCCTTGTAAAAGCAACTGAAAACAAAATGCACACACACGCACACACTAGTGTGCACGCATAAAACGCGCACACATTTACAGGTAGTAACACACAGCACTCCATATATTATAATAATTATATATATATAGATAAACTTGCATTGTTTGGCAGTGACAAATATGTTCATTTAAATAAAGGATAAATTAGTACACATAGATAGGGCACTCTCAATATGTGGACAGAAATTCACTTCTTGAACCACAGTTTTTTTTGTCTTTTTTTTTTTTTTTTTTTTGAATTCAGGTTTGCTGGCAGTCCAAATATCCCAGTCTTGGTAAACACACCATTTGACAAGTGCAAGAGAAAGAAAGAGAGAGAGAGACAGACACATTGGAAAGATATATTCTCTTTTCACATCCAAAAAGTTTCTTTTTTTTTTCTAAACAGTTCCAAATAAGACCTAGAGAATCCAAGATTTTATCACTGAGATTTTGGCGATTTTTCTTTTTGACTGAATGTATAGAAGACATCATTCTTATTTTTTAAGATTTGGTTTCTGGTTTTAGAAAGTTTTAAATTTTCAGTTTCTGTCAGGATGCGAGAGACTGTCATGACTTGTCAGAGAGTGTGAGTACCAAGGACTGAGGACACTTGACTCACCCAACACAAACAGAAACCACACGGAACATGGAGCAACATCACTCAGGAACTGAACAGGAGGGGGTGGGGGGTGT